TCAGCGGCAAAAGCGCCTGCCTGGCAAGCGCAAGGTCGTGAGTTCGGTTCCGGTACTGGAGAAAAAAAAAAAAAAAAAAAAAAAAAAAAAAAAAGAGAGCAGGATTTAGGTCTGAGCAGCATGCAGAAGCAGCCCAGAGGTCATGATAAAAGTTCGTACAGAGTTGGGGTTTGAGCCTGGTACCAGAGTCCTCTTGAAGCAGGAAACTCGGGTAACAGTGAAAATCCAGCCAGGGTGGGATGAAAGTGAGGGAGGAGGAGCTGCATGAGGGCCTCGAGGTTTGGAAGAGGCAGTTATGAGCAAGCAGATGTGAGTGATGGGATGAAGTGGGGCTGGAGGGCGCAGGGCCCACAGGAAGAAGAGTATTTAGGAGTGAAGATTAGGGTTCAGAAGCTGGAGTGTGTGTATGGTATTGCCTTTTGGGGATCTGAAAGGTGTGCAGTGTCCTACCACCCTGAGACGAAGATGATGTCCATGGGATGTTTTGGCACCAAGCCGTCGTGCTGCCTGGGAAGCGGGGTCTGAGTCCTGTTGAGGAAGGACACCTGGGGGGGCGGGGTGCTGCACAGCTATGACCAGGCCTTTATCAGCTCCTGCTGTCCCATCTTCCTCTTACCCCAGTACAGATCCTCCCTGCCTGCACGCTCACCATAGTCCTCCCCAATCTTCCTGCCTCTGCTCAAACCATTCTGAACTTATCATCGCCTGCAAAATACATGTCAGACCTTTGAGCTTCCCATCTGTGGCTGTCCGCCCTGGCCTCCACGCACTGCACAGCCACCTGTGTCCCTCAGGTCCCTCAGGTCCCTCCGTGGATCCCCTCTTCTTTCCCACAAATGCCCTTGGGCTTTTAGTTCTGTTGTTCTGGATCCTGAAATTCCTCCTCATGGATGTTGATGATGAGCTGAAGTCCGGAGGTCTGCACCCTCTCTGTCCCTGGTCCTGCGGCAATGCTTGTGTGGCTCCTGCCACGCAGAGTTCGTTCGTTCGTTCATTCATTCCATATTTTACACTGTAGTGTGCCAGGCCCTGGAGTTGGTGCCGGGCTGGGCATTAAAACTCACGGATCATAATCTCTGTCCTGAAGGTGCTTCCAACCTAGAGAAACTGACCAGCACCCCTGTTGAGCCAGGGATAGCACCCCTGTTGAGGCAGAGTACCTGTGCTGGCGGTGTGGAGCTGGGGTCCAGGTCTGCCCCCACTGTGCTTTTCAACAGACACTGACAACAGTGTTGCTCTTTTTTTCTTTTTGAGACAGGGTCTTGATATGCAGTTCAGACCGGACTTGAACTCACTTTGTA